AATGTCCCCAAATGTCCCCAAGGCGCAGGTGGCGTTCCTGCAGGGCGAGCGCAAGGGGCAGGAGAACCTGAAGCTGGACCTGGTGCGGAGGATCCGGATGTTGGAATTCGCCCTCAAACAGGAGAGGTGAGGAGGAAAAAAAATCCTAAAAAAATCCTAAAAATCTTAAAAATAATCCCCAAAATGGTAAAAATTATCAGGCAAAAAAAGGTGTCAAAATTTGGGGGGAAAAACCTAAAGTTTGGTTGAAAAAGGGTTGAGGGGAGGGAAAAAATTGGTATGAAATTCTCCAAAAATGGGCTTAAAAAAGGTCAGGGAAGGGTCTCAAAAATTGCACAAAAATCCATGAAAATTGCCTCAAAATCATCGTGGAATTTGTTAAAATTTCACCCCAAAATCACCTGAAATCATCATAAAAATCCATCCCAAAAAAGCCCTAAAATCCAGAAAATAACACCCAAAAAAACATCAAAACTGGTAAAAAAATCACACCAAAATTCCCTCTAAAAAGCCCCAAAATCAACCAAAAAATTCCCAAAAAATCCCAAAATCAAGCAAAAAATTCCCAAAAAATCCCCACAAAAAATCCCCCCCAAAATCCCAATAAAAACCCCAAAAATTCCCAAAAATTCCCAAAAAACCCCCCCAAAAATCCCAAAAATCAACAAAAAAACCCCCAAAAAAACCCAAAAAAATCCCAAAAACCCCCAAAAAAATCCCCCAAAATCCCCCAAAAATCCCTAAAAATCCCAAATTTTCTCCCAAGACCCCAAAAATCAACCAAAAATTCCAAAAAAATCCCAAAAAATCCCAAAAATCCCCAAAAAATTCCCCAAAAAATCCCCAGAAACCCCAAAAAATCCCCAAAAAATCCCCAAAAACCCAAAAAATCCCTAAAAATCCCAAATTTTCTCCCAAGACCCCAAAAATCAACCAAAAAATTCCCAAAAAAAAATCCCAAAGAACCCCAAAAAACCCCCAAAAAATCCCCAAAAAATCCCCCAAAAATCCCTAAAAATCCCAAATTTTCTCCCAAGATCCCAAAAATCCCCCAAAAATTCCCAAAAAACCCCAAAAAATCCCTAAAAATCCCAAATTTTATCCCAAGACCCCAAAAATCAACCAAAAATTCCCAAAAAACCCCAAAAAATCCCTAAAAATCCCAAATTTTCTCCCAAGATCCCAAAAATCAACCAAAAAATTCCCAAAAAATCCCAAAAATTCCTAAAAATTCCCAAAGAAACCCCACAAAAAATCCAAAAAAATCCTAAAAATCAACCAAAAAACCCCCAAAAAAATCCCCCAAAAAACCCCAAAAAAATCCAAAAAAATCCAAAAAAATCCCCAAAAACCCCAAAAAATCCCTAAAAACCCCAAATTTTCTCCCAAGACCCCAAATCCCCCAAAAAAACCCCAAATTCCATAAATTTTTGGGATTTTCCCAGGTCCAAGTACCACAAGCTGAAGTTTGGGACGGAGGCTCCGGGGGAGAAGCGGCCGGAGGAGCCGGGTGAGACCCCAAAATTTGGGGATTTTGGGATTTTTTTGGGGCGATTTTGGGGTTTTTTGGGGTTTTTTTATGGATTTGGGATTTTTTGGGGGGATTTTGGGTTTTTTTTTGGAGGGGATTATTTGGATTTTTGGGGGAGATTTGGGATTTTTTGGGTTATTTTGGGGGTTTTTTTCCAGTTTTTTTTGGGGTTGATTTTTGGGGTAATTTTGGGTTATTTTTGGGTTGATTTTGGGTTATTTTTAGGTCATTTTGGGGTTTTTTTGGGTTATTTTTTGGGTGGTTTTGGGGTTATTTTGGAGTTGATTTTGGGTTGGTTTTGGGATTATTTTTGGGTTGATTTTGGGTTATTTTTGGGTGTTTTTAGGGTTATTTTTGGGTGTTTTTAGGGTTATTTTTGGGTTGATTTTGGGTCATTTCAGGGCTGATTTTGTGTTTATTTTTGGGATTATTTTGGGGTTGATTTTGGGTTATTTTTAGGTTATTTTGGGGGTTTTTTGGGTTATTTTTTGGTGGTTTTGGGGTTATTTTGGAGCTGATTTTGGGTTGGTTTTGGGTTGATTTTGGGTTATTTTTGGATTGGTTTTTGGGTTATTTTTGGGTTGATTTTGGGTTATTTTTGGGTTGATTTTGGGTTATTTTTGGGTTGATTTTGGGTTATTTTGGGGTGTTTTTAGGGTTATTTTTGGGTGTTTTTAGGGTTATTTTTGGGTTGATTTTGGGTCATTTCAGGGCTGATTTTGGGGTTGGTTTTGGGTTTTTTTAGGGTTATTTTGTGTTCATTTTTGGGTTATTTTTGACTTAACTTTGAGTTATTTTTGACATTTCAGGGCTGATTTTGGGTTTATTTTTGGATGTTTTTAGGGTCATTTTGGGGTTGATTTTGGGTTATTTTTGACTTAACTTTGAGTTATTTTTGAGTTGATTTTAGGTTACTTTTGGGTGTTTTTAGGGTTATTTTGTGTTCATTTTTGGGATGATTTTTGGGTTGATTTGGGGTATTTTTGGGTCATTTCTGGGCTGATTTTGTATTTATTTTTGGGATTATTTTTGGGTTTATTTTTGGTATTTTTGGGTCATTTCTGGGCTGATTTTGTATTTATTTTTGGGTTATTTTTGGGTTGATTTTGGGTATTTTTTGGGTGTTTTTAGGGTTATTTTGGGTTTATTTTTGGGATTATTTTTGGGTTGATTTGGGGTATTTTTTGGGTATTTTTAGGGTTATTTTGTGTTTATTTTTGTGATTGTTTTTGGGTTTATTTTTGGTATTTTTTGGGTGTTTTTAGGGTTATTTTGTGTTTATTTTTGGGTTTATTTTTGGGTTGATTTTGGGTTATTTTTGGGTGTTTTTAGGGTTATTTTGTGTTTATTTTTGGGATTATTTTTGGGTTGATTTGGGGTATTTTTGGGTCATTTCTGGATGTTTTTGGGGTGATTTTTGGCATTTTTGACTCTTTTTTTTCCCCCAGTATCCAACGGCCCCGTGGAGCTCGAGGGAGCCTGGAAAGAGGGGAGGCAGCTCCTGCGCCAGTGAGTGCTGGAATTTTGGGAATTTTGGGGAAATTTGGGGTGAATTTGGGATTTTTGGATGAATTTGGAATTTTTGGATGGGTTTGGGCTGAAAGATTTGGGATTTTTGAGTGATTTTTGGGCAGATTTTGGGTGATTTTGGAGCTTTTTTTATATTTTTTATGGTTTTTTTGAGGTTTCCAAAGGTGAATTTTGGGATTTTTTGGGGTTTTTTGAGCAGATTTTGGGTGATTTTTGAGGTTTTTTTATATTTTTTATGGTTTTTTTTTGAGGTTTGGATTTTTTTGAGCAAATTTTGGGTGATTTTGGACCTTTTTTTATATTTTTTATGGTTTTTTGGAGGTTTCCAAAGGTAAATTTTGGGATTTTTGGGGTTTTTTGAGCAGATTTTGGGTAATTTTTGAGCTTTTTTTATATTTTTTATGGTTTTTTTTGGAGGTTTGGATTTTTTTGAGCAGATTTTGGGTGATTTTTGAGCTTTTTTTATATTTTTTATGGTTTTTTTTGGAGGTTTGGATTTTTTTGAGCAAATTTTGGGTGATTTTGGAGCTTTTTTTATATTTTTTATGTTTTTTTGAGGTTTCCAAAGGTAAATTTTGGGATTTTTTGGAGTTTTTTGAGCAGATTTTGGGTGATTTTTGGGCAATTTTGGTTGAATTTTTATCGAGATTTTCATGGAATTCTTTCAGTTTTTTTTACAATCTTTATAAAGGATTTTTTGGGGCATTTTACCAAAATTTTGGGGCCATTTTAATGTGATTTTTTTGATGATTTCCATGGAATTTTTAAAGCATTTTGGGGGGAATTTGGGAATTTTTGGGGGTGAAATTCATGGAGATTTTTTGGGGCATTTTTGGAGTCATTTTAGCAGAATTTTGGCATTTTTGAGGCCACTTTGGTTGGATTTTTTGGGAAATTTTCTGGGAATTTGGAATTTTTTTGGACAATTTTTGTTGAGGTTTTTTTATGAGTTGATTTTAACAAAATTTCAGCGTTTTTGAACCATTTTTGCAGAATTTTTAGGCACAATTTTGACAGAATTTTGGTGTTTTTTCCCCTTTTTCCCAGGATTTTTGTAGCTGCCCATCTTTTTTTCCAGAGGGATTCAAAATAATCCTGGGATTTGTTAAAATCTCACCCCAAAATCACCTGAAATCATCATAAAAATCCACCCCAAAAAAGCCCCAAAATCCCAAAAAAATAACACCCAAATAAAATCAAAACTGGTAAAAAAATTCCTTCTAAAAAGCCCCAAAA